ATAGAGAGAGAGAGAGAGAGAGAGAGAGAGAGAGAGAGAGAGAGATTATTGAGATTCAAATTACGAAACAAGGTGTACAACGAAGTAGAGAAATACAATTTCCTCAAATACAAACAATATGAATCCAGAATGAGTTAGTAGATTCGCCGAGACCATGTATTTTCATTTCATAAAATAATCCCAGCCAATGACCGAGATGGCTAAGGGTGAGTGTCGATTCAGCGCTTTGGTCCGAAGGGTTGTGGGTTTGAGTCCCGCTTTGGGCATGGGTGTTTGTCCATTGTCTTCACATATGTGTTGTCGTGGAGAGTCTCGCATTCTGATGAACCCAAATCAGAGGAGCCCGCAAGTGCGATTGTGTCCAGTGTATGGTCGAATATGCGTTCCATCGGGACGTAAATGGTAACCGGCTGCGGATGGATAAAAACCCTAGAAAAAAACCCAACAACCTTAGAATTAGAAAAACCATTTACTTTTGAACATTGTTAAAAGACGTCTAGTCTGCAAGAGATATCTGCTTCCTCGATGACCGTGCAAATTCCAGCGACGGCTCGTGTGAACAGCTTTCTCGTACGTACGTTCAAGGTCTCTCAAGCGCCTCTCCAAAGGTTGACGCAGCGGTCGCGGGCGGCGCTGTTGCAGGCGTGGACCCCTCAGGCGCCCTGTCCCCGGCTGAGCGCATGCCGTGCGACCGGCCGCTCAACGCCAGCGACGCCGCCTGCGTGTCCACGGTGCACACGGCCTGGGACGACACGCGCCCCGCGCCGCTCCTCGGCCACGTGGCCTTCTTCCCGCACGGCATCCGCCGCCAGCCGCACGCGCACGCCCGGCGCGCAGGTGAGTGCCTTGTGCCTGCACGGCTCGCGCACGCACCGAGGTCAGGGGGGTAGTTTACAAGAGGCCCGCATGCGCTCCGCATACGTGAGAATTATGAAGCCCGCACACTTCCAGGACTCGGGATAGGTTTAAGAGGTCCACACGCCCTATGAGTATACAAGGAGGTACGGCGTGCGGTCCAAACGGAGTATTTAGGTGACAGTTGTGTGGCTCGCACACTCTCGCACATGACAGTTAACTAGATCGCAAGGATCGGGACAGGTTTAAGAGGCCCACTCCGCATACGTGCCAGTTAGAAAGCTCGTACACTTCCAGGACACGGGGCAGGTTTAAGAGACCCACACGCGCTATAAGTACGGAGTACATACGTGGCAGTTGTATGGCTCGCACACTCTCGTACATGACAGTTAACTAGATCGCAAGGATCGGGTCAGGTTTAAGAGGCCCGCGCTCAATCTGCATACGTGACAGTTAGAAAGATCGCACACTTCCAGAATACGGGACAGGTTTAATAGATCCTCATACACTAGAGTACGGAGTAGTTAGAAGAGGCCCGCATAAGCTCAGGATTCGAAACAGTTATGTACCCCGCACACTCTCAGGATACGGGACAGGTTGAAGAGGTCCGCACAAGGTCGAAGTACGGAGAAAATACGTGGCAGTTATGTAGATCGCAAGGCCCGGGATAGGTTTAAGAGGCCCGGACGCACTCCGCATTCGTGACAGTTACGAAGCCCGCACACTTTCAGGATACGGGACAGGTTTAAGAGACCCGCAAACGCTAGAGTACAGAGTAGTTAGAAGAGGCCCGCACAAGCTCAGAATTCGAGACATATATCTCACACACTCCCAGGATACGGACTAAAAGGGCAGGTTTAACAGGTCTACGCACCCTGCGAGTGCGAGGTAGTTACAAGAGGCCGGCATACGCTCCGCATATAAAACATTTATGTCACCCTCACTCACCCAGCGCAGGAACAGAATGAGATACCGAACATGTTCAGGCCACAGGACAGGTTAAAGAGCCGTACAGACGCTCAGGATACAAGACAGTTATGAAGCCCGTACATGTTCAGCATACGGGGCAGTTGAAGTCAGCTCATTCCCAGCTTACAGGACTGGTTATAGGGCATTTTACGCGTAGAATATGGGCATATTATGCATTTTTGAAACCTGCCCAATTTCAGGATACAGGATAGTCTCCGGAGGTCTGCTCACGCTTCGGGTACGGGATGGTTATTAGGGGACTCAAGTTAGTTGTACATTTTGACTCGTAACTACCAGATACTCTAGCCACAGAGTATGTGGCGATTTTAAGGGGCTCTCTGGATACAGACATAATGTTCATTTTGCCTGTTCATGTAACTAGAGCATTATCATTATAAAAGCAGTTTGTTTAAGACCCATTTTGATTTGTTATATTTTCGTAGGCAACTGATTTGGGACATAATGATGTGAATGAAATTTTATAGCATTCAGGAAAGCATGATTGTCAATAATTTCTTCATCATTTAGCCATGGCAGCCACACCACCCGCATCTTCAGCATTCTTCTTGTTCCTATTTATCAGGAAAAATAAACATTGCTGATTATGTCTTAAAAAGAAAAGTATTATCCGTGTTGGATAATAATACCCTACACAAATTGTTTGAACACTTCCAAACATGAGAAGTGTGCCCCAGCTGTTTGGCGAACCGATTCTCGCTGCTGAGATATCCTGAGTTTGCACTCACATCACACTAGGATACTAAACTCTCTCAGTAACATGCTTAAGCTAAGAGCGCACTGGATCGCTCGGCACGATCTATATAGTTCCACAATTTCTAGATAAAGATAGTGTAAGATGGATGCTATTTCATTAATGATTTAAAATAAATGAAATCGAAGAGAGGTTTGAACAGAATATCATAATCTTGGCATACGTGCTTTGCTGAAAATTAAAGTCTTCATTTATATGACGTCCTGATTTGATTATTTGTACTGAAGTAACTCGTGAAATAATATTGCCATTATTGCAAAAAATAAAACTGACCTTCAAAGTTTATCTAAGTGGTGGGCTTAATTACCTCCCTAATATTTTAATCACTTGTAAGTTAACCCAGCTCCGTGGGCCCCAGAATCCCGATTTCAAAAAGATCAATGGAATTTTCTCGGCTCCGCTTCGGAACATTTAATCAGAAACCTCTCTCGAACCCTAATTAGCTTAAGATACATGTACCTAATCTTATTAAGTTGCGTCCATGTCCGTATCCATATCCTGTACACAGATACGGAAGATTTAAGACTCCTTTGCTGGCTCGACGCCTGATTTGCCTAGATGTGAATTCTGGGAGACGACGGCTCTTATTGATCATTTCTGCGATTTACGCCGATTAATTCCTGGCAGTTACCAGAGTAGTACCTTACACAATGGGACACAGATCGGGCGCGATTATTTCCATCTCTCCTGTTCCTCGGTAGGGGTTTGCCATGAATATTCCTCTTCAGTGTTCAAGAGGAGTGACACATATCTATTTTCGTCATTTTTCATTTTAGCAAAGAAATGTATATTCTATATGTACTTGGCGCGACAGCTCGCGAACAGGCTCTACCGGCGACGTCTCTGCCTCGCGGCCGTGGGTTAAGGGGGTACGTGTGGTCAGCACATAGACATCCTCTCGCCGGATTCCGGTCTTTTCAGCCTGAGAAGTGAATTTTCTCATCGTCACACAGCGACATATATTGGGACATTTCAAGGAAAACGCACACATTAATCTTATCTGACCGGAAATCGAACCCGGGGCCACGTAGTGGAAAGTGAGCAGCCTGACTAAGAGCTAGCCACGAGGTTAGTGAAGAAATACGCTTAGAAAATATTATGTTTTCCCAGTAAAAATTTGTTATTTCACTAGTCAACCGTAATTCACAGTAAAACATTTTGGCTTTGGCCGCAAAATAAACTGTTCGTCTCACAAAAAACGGTTATCATGCAAAATGTCATTGTTTTAGATGTGTCACTTTTCTTGTGCACCGACGATTTGTGCTTCGTGGTGGGTGAAGAGAAAGGAAGATGTAGAGTGGGCGAGGGGGCTGTATGGGAATGAAGGAAACGGAATATTAAGAGTGGTAGTTCCAGGGGGTTGACGCTGAGAAACAAGGGAAAGACGAAGAGTAGTGGTTGCAGGGACTCTGACTGATCCGGGGGGAAGTACGGGGATGAAGGAAAAGGAAGATGAAGAGAGGTAGTTCCAAGGAGCTGGTGCTGTAAGACACCGAGGTCAAAAGAAAGACGGAGAGTGGTGATTGTAGTGGGCAAAGAAGCTTTGAATTTGCTTGAGGAATGTGTGGGAATGAGGGAAATGGAAAGTGAAGGATGATAGTTCCAGGAGGAAGTCGGAGGGTGGTGGTTGTACTGAACAAGGATGCTTTGGCTGTTCTCTGGCGATGTAAGGGGGCGAAGGGAATGGAAGATGGAGTCTGTTGGTTCCAAGGGGGGGTGAGACTGGAAGGCAGCAAGGCCGAAGGAGAGACAGAGCGCGGTGGTTGCAGGCGGCGAGGGGGCGGAGGCGTGCGAGGAGACGGCGCTGGCGCTGTGGGCAGAAGCCGTACGCCGCCCCAGGGCCCTCGTGGGGCGCCACTGCGCCTCGTGGCAGAGCTTCGCGCTGGGGCTGTGCCAAGGGGAGCCCGCGCTGCAGATGCGCCACTGCGACGGGTACGTACCGACCCCCCTCCCCTCACAACTCCTCCCTCTCCACTCCTCTGCTTCACACTCATCCAGCATTGAAAGATTATAGCAAGCTTCTTTCTTGAGCTTAGAAATACACCTTCAACTTGCCTATTAATTTACGAATCAGTCATACCAATGTTCCATCAAGCGTGTAAAATATTCATAAATACACATTTATATTCCAGCTATATCCATATCACAGGCATCACATTAAAAAAATTAAGTAGTGTACACTCTCAGGTTTCATTCAATGCTAAACCTGTAATGTTGTTTACTATTTTTCCTTAAGTAATTTACAACTATATTATATAATAGGCACTAAAAAGAAAGAGAAAAAGAAGTGTCGATAATTCTGTTTGTATAAAATCTTACTGATCTTAGAAAATTAAAAAATTCAAATTCAGTTAAAATAAAAACCTCTAATATAACAGAAAAAACAATTAAAGTACTTATAATTTTCTTATTCTTCGAATAATAACGATACCAGAATTGAACAAAAACAAATGAACTAAACAATAAATGCTTCTTTTTGTTTTCCCTGGCTTTCCTCGGCCGCTTAAGGCAAATGCTGGAACGTTATTTTCGCTTTTGTGAGCTCTAGACCAAGACATGTTCATGCTGTGAAGTACGTTATTTATAAATGTATAATGTATAGTTAACTAAAAATAAAATGTTTCAAAATAATTTAAACACGTAGTAACTACTTAGTTGTCAGGGAGATGCCGCGTCCTAGGAACAGGTGGCAACGATTCGGCAGTTTTCTGCGACCTTCCTCAGAGCAAAATGCTTTTGTAGACAACTGTACCTAGGATGCGGCGTCTCCAGAACAACCAAGTGGTTACTGACTCCAGTACACGTAGGCTTCCGCGGCTCGAGTTCATGACTTCAAGGTTGTCCGGGTGACACCGCGTCGTTGGCAGATAGGCCGACGTTTCACCTGTGAAGTCGCAGGCTTCTTCAGGGTAGGGGAGGCGGAGCTTCATTGTGTCACTACCCTGAAGAAGCCTGCGACATGACAGGCGAAGCGTCGGCCTATCTGCCAACAACGCGACGTCACCCGGACAGCCTAGAAGTCATTACTGACCCCTGTGGCGGAAGCCTAATTTGAAACACTTGTTGCGCAGGCTGGCGGGCCGCTTCTACCTGCGCACCCACGCCACGGAGCCCTTCGGCCTGGGCATGGAAGGCGCGTCACCGCCGCCGCCGCCCGCGCCGACCTCCACGCCGATGGAGGCCTCCTCCACGCCGTTCTCCACGCCCTCTTTCTCCGAAGGCTCTTTGGACGTGGAGGCCCACGCGTCCTCGGCGCAGGGCGCAGGCGCGGGGACGGACGCCTCCGAGACAGGAGACACGCCCACGCCCCATGCAAGGGTCACTGACACTACCAACGACTACGTTTAGGCTCGGTGAAGCTCGCTTTTCGCAGATCGTTGAGGTCCTGTACGGTGATTTTGATGGGGGAAATTAGTGGATTAAATGTAGTATCCATCTGTTTGTTCGCTATTACCTTTGGACTGCGTTTTGGCTCGGTTGCTTGTGATGATTTCACAAATCATTGAAGTCCTGTTCGTTGATTTTGGTGGGGAAATTAGTGGATTAAATGTATTATTAAGCTGTTTGCACGGAATGCGTTTTGGCTCGGTTGCTTGGGACATTTTCATAAATCGTTGAAATCCACTTCGTTGATTTTGGTAGGGAAATTACTGGATTAAATGTATTATTAATCTGTAAACGTAGGCTTCCGCGGCTCGAATCCATAAATTCTCGGTTATCTGGGAGACGCCGGGTCGTTTCTGGAAGGCCGACGTTTCGACTGACATGTCGCAGGCTTCCTCAGGGCAGTGACGGGTCGCAGGCTTCCTCTTCCCTGAGTTCGCCTGACATGTCAGGCGAAACGTCGGCCTCCCAGCCAACGACGCGGCGTCTCCCGGATAGCCGAGAATTTATGTATTATTAATCTGTTTGCATGGAATGCGGTTTTGCTCGGTTGCTTGGGACATTTTCACAAATCGTTGACATCCTGTGCGCAGATCTTGTTTCGAGAACCGTTTTATTAATCTGTTTGTACGAAGAAAAGGAAACAATGCTTTTTGGCTCGGTTGCTTGGGACGTTGTTGATGATGATTGTTAAGGTCGTGTATATTGATTTGTTGAGGGGCAGTAGTGGATTAAATGTATTATTGCACGGAATAAGCAGTGAAAAATAAGTGTCGTCAAATTGTACAACTATATACCAGGGTATACACCTATAGGTCAGAGTTGTTTAAGAGAATGATGTTTACAATCAATGCTTATAAGAAACTTAATGGATTGAGCGAGATTTCTTTTACTGGAGAATACGAACATTAGAAGAATAGGAACCAATAGAGATTTTCAAAGTCTCTTAAACACGCTTCATCTATAAATGTATATCCAGGCACATCGTTGTATTGCTTATCATTACTATATTGAATTTGTGTAAGGTATTCTTCTTGTAATATTATTTAATTACATTTTGCAAAAAAGGTGAGAAGAAGGTGGCTCAAAATGTATAGAGTATATATGACAAATGTTTTGATGAATTGCCAACCATTGGTATTTATGAATTAAAGATTGTTATAATTATACCGTATTCTTATTCTTACCTCCTTTAGAGCATATTACTTTTCTTCTAATTACAATTCCTTTAAGTGTACTTAGATTAGAAGACCTCAAAATCACAAAGACATTAATTCACTCATTTTAGTATCAGTAACAAAGTATCAAGTATGAGAGACGTCCATTTTTTGCTAAAGGAGAATAACGATTAAAATATAAAAGCAGAATCACTTTACTCAATATTTTTAGGCCCGCATCGGACGTGAAAAATTTATGTTAAGAAAGTGGAAGTAGTATTATGCCGGTATGTTTACGTAATCATTCGAAGACTCGAAATGGCTCTAAGCTCTGTGAGGTAATGCTCTGCCATTTTAAAAATAAAACACATTCAGAAACGTGTGTAACTCTGTGTTCACATTGCTTAGTGATTGAATTGTTTCAGAATTTGTAAAGCTCCCTCATTATATTAATCTTAGAGACTTAACTGAACGACATGAAATAGTGTTTTGGAGGATTTCTATTTTACGCCTTGTGAATAAGTAAATTTTTTCTCACTTTTCTTTAGCTATAACATTCAGTCATCTAATTTTCTGAGTATATTCTTGCTGCTCGAAATACCAATCGAAACGTAATTTCAAATTGTTGCCTGATATAAGAAAAATGATTGTATTTCATGAATAATCAGACCGGGAGAGATGCTTAGGGCATCAACTGATGCCACTGTAGTCCGTCTGACCGGCAGTTCTAGGTTCGAGTACTGACTGTGGCAGGATTTTCGACACTAGCTTGTTAGTTCAGTCGTTGTCACTAGCTTGTCGTTCAGTCGAATTCAGTCGCTGTCTGGAGGAGAATTCTAGTGGCCGGTTGCTCTGATCGGTAGTTTTCCGTGGTTTCTCCGATAAGCACCAGGTGAATGCCGGCGCATTACCCTAACAAACAGCTATGGACCGCGTGCGATCTTACTTTCTTCTTCCTTATCCTAAGCTCACACCTTTACACTAACTTGTACTACACATGTCTGGAGACCGTTCAGAAGCTTAGAGCTTGGCGGTACACCAAGACACGTGAGCGGTACGCCGCTGATGGGAGATGCCTGGTTGGGAAAACCCTGCTAGCCGACGATAGGTCGGCACCGGATCTCGGCATTCAGCAGGGGAAAGGTCACCGCCACCTCCCCTACAAAAACATCCATTACACTTACGGGACTAATGATCCCGGCAGTTGACGTGAACAGAACCACTAAACAATCAATCAATCAATGAATTATCAGGAAAGTCCTACGGCCGATTTTATTCCCTCGAGAACATTATATTTTTTTCTCTATAGACTGCGGTAAAAAAACATTTAACAACTCTTGCCAATTGCCAGGGAAGAACGTTGTTGACTTCAGTGACACAGGAATGGAAGGACTATAAATACGTGCACAAATATCCAAGCCCAAGGCAGGATTCGAACCCGCAACCTTTTCTGAGGTGAGGGTGGCACTGCCCCTAAGTCTTAGTGACCTCGGCTAAGCAAGCCCACTAGACCTAACCATGAGCGAAACAATTACTTTTTGAAAGATCCCTCGACCTATTGAAACGGAAAAGTCAATCTCAATCGTATAAAATAATTTTTTTTAAAAACTAGAACGCGAAGTGAGTCTTTGCAATACGAATGAAAGGTTGACGAATGAAAGGTCGTCTCGTTAGACGACGATGGGCACCCAGTTCGGAATTTCCAGTCCAGTCTGAAAATGAGTACGCGCAAAACGCAAACGAATTTTTTTAGGAATTTGAATCATAAAAATGATTTTATATTTGCGTTCTTCAATTTTTACCTAAAACATTTATTTTTGAGCAAAAAGTATCAGTTAATGCAAAGCATAAAGATTTTTGATGATTTCGCAAGAGTGCGTACATTATTTCTACTTTCTTGTTGACTACTTTCGTACCATTTTTACTGTACTTCAAAATTAGAAGTTTGATTAAGATCATTTACATAAGTAGTTTACGCGCAATTTTTGCAAATCTTCGTCATTGTAAATCGAATTTCCCGTGCGTATGATTTTCACGAGACATCAGACCTTTTCATACGACAATGGCAATGCCGCGAAACGGCAATTTGAAATTGAGAGAATTCTCATTGATAGGCAATGTTGTTCGCTGTATGCAGGATTTGATTTCTTGAATTTATAATAATGCATTTGCTTTAATAGGGGTCATATCGTAAGAGTGATTCTATTGTGGTCCAGATATAAGATTTAAATGATTAAAAGCGACAGATTTGTAGCCTTATTTTTATGCAATTATAAGGCGATATATTGGATGACTTTCAGATTTGGATGTTTAATTTATAGACATATATTTTATTTTTATATTTTACTTGAAACGGGTTTTATTGTTCAGCTTTGAAAACCTGAAAGCTCACTTCGATGTAATTAAGGTAGGCCTATGGCGTTGCCCCACCGGTGAGAAATACGTAGTTAAAGACCTCGCAAATCGACATAGGTCGGCGCCGGATCTCGCTATCCAGAAAGGGATAGCCTTCAATAGCGATGAAAACATTCACTACACTTTCGGGACTAATGCTTTTGACCGCGATGACCATGATTAGTGTACCAAGCGCTGCTACCAATTTTGGAGCAAAGTAATCTGTCCTGGGATAGTTCATTTGCTCCAGGGCGTGTGTCCTCGATCAGATTCGACAAATCTGATTACAAATATATATATATTTGCATTAGAATCAGGTGATGAATGGTTTTTAACAGTTCCTAAGATGGTGTCAAAGCAGTTGGGGTGGAGAAATATTTAGCACTCCGCACTTTTCGTCAATAGTTCCAAAAGTGTTCCCTTTCCTCTTTATCACTATATTTTTAAGGAAAGTTTTGAACACATTAATTGTTGTCTCACGACCCATATTAAAAATATACTCTTTTTATCACTGTGTACTTCCACCCACATGTTGACTATTTTAAAACGATGCTTTTACTAACAAAATAAAAAATAATTACTGGCACGTTGATACGCCAGCTCGCGATTGGCTGAGTCTGCAAATACTGACAAGTTTCGATGAAAGTCGGCACGGATTGACGTGGGCCTATATGTACGAAATCACACTTGCAAATTGGACATGATAGGTTGTATCTGAAATTTTCCAATAAAAAATAGTGAAAAGGATATTTTCTTTCATTATATGATGTTAACAATGAATTTTATGCTAAAATACTATTTTTATTTTGCAAGAAATATTTTTCTTTATTTAACTTTACCGACTAAGACGAAAGCAAATAACTATTATTTAATTTCTTCTATTAATTTTGTGTATAATAGTACTTGTCTGACTCACTCAATATTTATTAACAAAATTTCATAATTTAAAATGTATGAAATAAAATGGTGGATCAGGAATATTTGACACAATATCCTTGGTATACTTTTCAGTGTCACAAGTTTCTACAACACGTCATATTATTATACATCTTGAAAGAATGAAAAGAAAATGTTGCAACCAATACAAAATAAATCTACTCACGTTCTGATCATACGAAACGGTAGCTACAGGTTGAGAAGGGTGTCAAATGAGTATACAAAACCTTTCAGGTGATTGACAGCCAGATCAGATGAGAAGATGGTTCCCAAATGAAGGATATATTCCCTGTATACTTTTCAGATAACACACACACACACACACACACACACATATATATATATATATATATATATAATATATATATATAATATATATGTATATGCTCATATCATTTATTTGTAACTTGTACTGGTAACGTTAAATAAATGTCAGAAGTAATATGCTTTTAATTCCTTATATTGGCTTTTCCTCTTGATGGCAAAGAGAATTTAATTTCTTTATCAAAATACATGTTTCTGATAACTAACGGTCCAACTGAAAAGATTTCTGTGAGTAAATAACAAAATGTATTGCATTTTGCATACATATTTTTGAGCTGCTATCAGCTTGCATGAAACTCTCACTACTAAATATAGCTTACATACTCTGTCAACTAGAACGAAATTATGCCAAGTGCATATTTTTGTTTGAATTTAATCAATCTAATAAAACATTATTGCCATTAACACCTTCCATTTTTTTTCTATTAATTTTTTCCCGTGTAAAAAAATCATGCCGCAGGTTCCATTTTCGTTTGAATGAGTTGACCAGAACTTTTGAAATTCCAAAATTAGAAATATTGTTGTTTAGGCAGCACTCATATTTCAGTAATATTTGGATGATGAGGACATAATATATTTCCCTGTCTATCTTTGGATCCTTACGCCCGAAAAGGTTCTAATTACATTGCATTCTCAGCATTGGAATCGATAATCACTACAAGGAAACAGGGCAAGGCGCAGAGTGCAGGGGTCGCAGTCAGCTAGAACGAATTCTGCAGTGTCTGCGGCCTTTTGCTCGCGAATGTGTAGTTTTCCGTATATTCCCTCCCGATTACCACTTAGTATCTTAACAAGCGGGCATGAACCTGCGCGATTTTTCCCTTCCTCGTCTTTTGGTCCTTTCCTCGGCCCATAACTTACACCTTACACAATACACTTAACTCATTCTAATTCTTAAAGCAAAGCTATTGCGACATTTTTCTAAAATCATTTAATCTTCATCAAATTTTGCATCTGTCACTTGTTCTCCTATTTGTGCCCTACTAAAATTCCTTTCTTCAATTTCGCTTCACTAATATACGGACATACGGGAGGGGGAACTTCCTTATGAGCAAGGTCACATATTCTGTCAAGGATCACCGCCCACCAGCCAAATGTAATCATGCACTTCGCTACGGGGACTAATAGCATATGCAGTTTGCTCGACCTGGAAAAACACTAAATGGTCATT